AATTCAGCTTTGCATCACAGGAATAAATTACATTTTACAATATATTCACATAGAAAAAAGTTCATTTAAATTGTAATAATATTTCACAATATTCCTGTTGGTACTGTATTTTTAATCAAATAAATGCAGCCTTGGTGAGCAAAAGAGGCACAAAACAATAAATAGTGTAGATGTACCTGCTCTCTCTGGTAAAGAAGTTGTTCCTGCTGTTGAAGGATGTGCTCGTAAAACTGGGAATATCGCTGGAAGACACTCCGCTCACGATTCATGACAGCACAAGTGAGCTCAGTCAAACACTCCTGCAGATGAGCGCTGGAGAACGTCACCTGGAAAACACTCATTGTTTATATATCAGTCCATTACATGGCATCTTTATCATGACATTGAAAAATGCTATCATAACCATATACTCTTTCAAATAAAGGTTCTTAATTGGCATTGAAGGTTCCATGAACAACCTTTAACATCCATGGAACCTTTCCAGGTTCTTTATAGTGGAAAAAGGTTCTGTAGAATATTAAAATGTTCTTCGCACTACGAAAAAAAATGTTTTTTTAAGAGCTGTACACTGAAAGGTGGTACTGTCCCTTTAGGGACCTTTATTTTTAGAAGTGTAGCAAGAAATATTTACCTGTGCATCAATCTCACGCTCAACACCTTTCACCAACCGCTGGATGAAATCCTCCACAATCTGCGGTCTCTCTAGAGAGACACTGTGCTTCATCGAAGGCCGTTTCCACAGTTCTTATTGACATGTGAAGACAGCAGAAGAAGACCAATGCATTTCAGAGAGGACGAAAATGTTATAATATCCTAAATATATGAGACTAGCTGTGGGGAAGTTTATTGGATTTCAGAGAGAATCAGGCTCAGCGCCATCCTCCCGTCGTGCTCTTTGATGCTGGGTACCTGCGGGGAGCTGCGCATCATGCCGTGAGCGCTCCGACATCACTAGAGTCATTTCACTGTTAATCCTCTTCTGAAGCGCTCGGATCATGTCACACTCCGTGATCTCCAAGAGTCTCAGTAACTACAACAAACAGGCAAAAACATCAGTCTGAAATGGACTATGCCAAAGACATCAATCCAAAGAATCTTACTAATGAACTGCCAAAATGCGACCTCACAATTTAGGATTTATTATTTCTTACTTTTAAGAAAGCATCATGGCTGCAGACCTGAACATTTATAATGAATATTCCCCAAATCTGAATCACTTATTTTGTTTCATAGTCATAGAGCATACTGACTTGACTGTTCAAATCTTTGCTTTACAGACCCCAGTGTTTCAAAATAAATAGCAGGTGAACATAAGTGTTATTTTAGTATACTATTATAGTTTTTATTTATATTATATTTTGAATTACATTTAATCATTTAGCTGATTATTATGCTTTAGATTTAATTTAATATTTTATACCGTTTTAATTTTAATTTTAGTTCATTTTTAGTATTAGTATTTTAGTAAATTAACTATTTAAGTTACTTTATTTTTTACTTAAGTTTTAGTTTTTATTTATTTCCAGTTATTACTTTTTGTGTTTCAACTTAAACTTCATATACAATTATAATTTATAATTCATATGATATTATAGTTTTTATTAATATTTAATAAACACACATTTATATTCATTTTAATTTTACTTTCATTTTTTTGTAATTTTGTTCTGTGGTTCTATCATCTGTATTAGTTGTTTTTTTTTCTTTTTAAATATTAGTATTTAGGTTGAATTTTTATTTCAGTTTTAGGTTTAATTCAGTTTTAGTTTTTATTTATTTCCAGTTAGTATTTTTAGTGCTTCAATTTAAACTTCATATACTATTATAATTCATAATTTAAATGCCATTATAGTTTTTGTTAATATTTTGAATGAGCTATTTTTTATGCTTTCAGATTTCATGTAATTTTGCTTTGATTTTTACTAATTTCGTTTTTATTAATATTTTGAAATAGCTTTTATTTTTAAATTTTCATTTTTATTTTATTATTTTTTGTGCTTTGTCATTTTTATTAGTTTTTTTTATATTTCTATTTAGGCTCAATATATTTTTATTTCATTTTTATTTTATTTCAGTTATTTCCATTTAGTAATTTTAGTTCGGTTTATTTGCCAAGGCAATATTTCTAATTTTTGTTTAGTTTAAGTTTTTCATTTACATTTTATTTTATTTTAGTTTTATTTCAAATGAAAAATTTTTCATAGTTTTACTTTTAGCTAACCATAACAGCGCTGTTTCACATGCACTACCTGCCACATTTTGACGTCAGCTTCTGCTGCTCCAGGTGGTGGAAGGACAGACTGAGTCTGAGACAGCAATATCTCATATTCCTTCTCCTTATCCATCTGCTGGGCCAGAGCTTGCATGCTGGGAAAGTAAATCTCCACCCTACAACACAAGATCACGGGTCAGGTAAACACATACGTATTTGTTTCACCATAAACCTTTATGAAAGAGTGAGTGTTTAATAGTGATGAAATGTTCATGACCTGTAAAGCTGAGACAAGTGTCTAAACTGTGCAGTGGTGTTTATTTTCTCAACACCCGTCTGTCGTTGAGTCCAGCTCTCTTTAAGAGCTTCCATCTGCTTCCAGAGCAGTAAAAATCCCCGCTGCTTCATCAGGGACTCTATGGGGTCTTGAGTTTTAGACGCAACCTCCGTTTTTCTCTCCTCATTTCCCATGTTATCATTAAGAACCTGAACGATGACAATGAGATAAATGTGCTTCAACAAACAAAGATGTATGAACACACTATGAATCTACACTCTCAAGTTACAGAAATGCAGAACAAACACCTCAAGATCAAGATTATTTTGTCACAAAATTTAACATTTCTTTGAATTGCAATTCAGTAAATTTCTCATCTTGCCATTCCAACTTTTGCTACTTGTGGTGTTTGGGCTAATTAAGTGTGTTCCCACTTTTTAGTGGCTTTGGTTCAGGAAGAATTTTTTTCCATTAATTTTTCCCATAGGGATTTTTAAAAAAAAGTCTTTGTCAATGAGTTAAAAGCCATGAACCAAACCAACCAGCTATGAGGTGAATCACAACATTACACACTTTGATTTGAAGCAAAAAAGTATTTGAGAATCGACAAAAAGAAAAAGGTACAAGACTAGCTACTTAACAGCTTTAATTTTAACTACAATCCCATGAAGCATTGCGAATGACATAATCAAAATTTAATATGATGGTGAAATATACACTATTTGTTTAGAGTTATTGATTATATCTGTATAAACAATATATTTTCAGTTTATGGCAAAAAAAAAAAAAATGCTAGCCATGCACAGCATCATGGGAAATGTAGTTTTTCCACCACAAATTCCACTGTTAAATGATTATTTAAAAAATAAGTTGAAATAATGTGAACAGTCGGCTTCAACAAAAGCATATACAGTCAATCAACAACCTCTGAGCTCAAAACAGGTCTGTCTTTAAAGACTCCCCAATGGAGAAAATCAATGGAGATTTTACTTCCAGAACTCGACTATTGTACTTAAATCAGCTTTCCAACTTATGAACCAAATGGGAGACAATCTTAAATTCTGAATGACTTCTCTATCAGATGTTGTGGTGATGTCGGGGTCTCCTGTGGTCTGTAGCCGGAGCGGCGCTGCATCTCTTCCACTACTCAGCACATCATCAATGATCAGGGATACGCCCAGAATCGCCCCATTAGCCTCCATTCTACAGCGGTCATTCAGATCACAGAGGCAGAGCTACAAAAACACAAGATTACATGACCCTGATCCCAAATGAAGCAGAGGAAGACTAAAAAATGTATTTATAAAGTAACACACCTGCATGTAATGCTCAATCGGTGAAACATCCCATATACTCAAAGGATGCGATCCATGGATTGCAATGAAAGATCTCCATGGATACCATTTTTGGGCCTGAAACCACAAATAAAACACTAAACACTAGTGAAGGAGGAACATGTATGCTGGACAGGCCTGGTGGTTCCTCACCTGAAGGCAGGCTGGTTCTAGCGGTTCAGGAACAGAGAGGAAATTGGCTCCTCCCATCATGCTGTCATTCATGATTGGGAGGGCGTGGCTCATGTTTTCACTCACACTCTGATAGGCCGAGAGGTTTCCAGAGGAGAGGAATGCCTCCCTTGTGGTGAAACAAAAATGGAAATGCCATGTTTTAAAACAATGTGAATATGTGTCAATGAAAATGGGTCATTTAAAGACATTTACTTAAAGGGATACTCCACCCAAAATGAAAATTTTGTCATTAATCACTTACCCCCATGTCGTTCCAAACACGGACATAGGGGTAAGTAATCAATGACAAAATTTTCATTTTGGGGTGGAGTATCCCTTTAAGAATATCCAGGATTATTATAGTTATCTAAAACTAAAACCGTAAAAAAAAAAAACATTCTTGTTACTTGAAATGAAATAAATGTTAAAAAAAACGTATAATTATTTTTTCAGTTAGTTGCCAAAGCAACATTTCTCATATTCATTTGTAGTGAACAGCAAATTCCAGGGCCTAGTTAATGGCGGGGCCCCTCTCTGGCCACAATATTGGACAAAGGTTTTCTGCATTTTGATTGGATCTTGGTGGACTAACAAAAGCAAACTGTCCAACGCCATCAGATAAAGACACTAGGACAGCAGCCAGACACCTCTTCGAGGGCAAGAAGACAGACCTCTGGTACCAAGCCTGGGAAGGACAGGACTTCTCATTGGTCAAAATTAGTGGTCAACCGATATTGTTTTTTTGACAGCCGATGCCGATATCTTGGAAAGCAGGGTGGCCGATGGCCGATATAAAGCCGATTAAAATGTTATTTATTTAATACATTTAATATATTTATTGTGCTAGGGTATTTGCATAAGGCGATCTGATTGGCTGACGCCTGCGTTGGCGTTTGAAAAGTTGAAAAGTTTTCAACTTCTGCCGCGAGCAACCGACCCAATGCGACGCGACGGACCCACAATTCATTTCGCCAACGCTTGACGTCACTCATTCAAAGTAAACGAGAGGCGTTGACGCCAACGCCCCGTGTGAATGGGGCGTAAGATTTTGGCCTGTGACCGCCATAAAAATTCCTTAGGACCTCCAGGATGCAGCAGCAGTGGGTGAAATAAAGAGAGATCACAGAGATCCAACCAAATCCATTCATAACTGTGTTTTCAAACCTTAAACTGATGCAAACTACAACACACCTATCTTACACTTATTCAGAGAAATAAGTATTCTCAGTGACAGCGATGTGTAGAGCAACATCTTAAACTCAGCTGTTAATGGACAAATGAATGCATGCATGACAGTTCAATCTTTTCCCATCATGTTTGGCTTAATGAATTCGTAACATTGCCAAAGGTATTCTGGTTGTGGTTTGGAAAGTGAGAAATGCACTGGTAAAACTTTAGTGACACTTTTCTAACTTCTAACTTTGTTTGGACTATGCAAATAAGTTCCACAGGAGGAAAGAAGGGTGGGCCACACCATGTCCCCCCGCTGTGATGGAAACAGCCAATCACAGTACAGAAATGGAGAATCGGCAAATTGCAATCTCGTATTCCTGCAATCTCGTATTCTCGGATACCTGCTCCTTTCCCCACTGCATTGTTACCAGCACAACCAGTGGAAGAAGTCACCGCCACAAGACTGCTAACTCGACCACAGAGAACGTACATATCACTTATCCAAACCTCTTCCAGAGACCTTGGCTGTTGTATGTTATCAGTATATGATTTTCTAATTTATATTAGATGTTATATAGCTGATCAGTTAAGAACAAATAATCTCTTTTGTTAATAATATGTATTTTATTTCACTTGTGTTTTCCTTATGTTGATAATACAGAAAGAGGTTCTACAAGTTAGATATCCCACCAATCGTTCTTATCTGATGTACTCATAACCGCACCTTAAGTGACACGTAATCCAAAAATCATAACGTCATCGGACGTGAATACCCATCGCTAGACTATTTTGCCTCCCTAGGTTGGCGAAAGCAAAATCACTACACATTTAATAACTTGATGTACTAAAACAAAAACTTTTTTAGTTTACTTTATATATTAATTTAATTTATTTTACATATCACATATTTTAAACAACTATTAAAAATGAAAAGAAAAACAAACAATAAAATAACTAAAACTTTAACTAAAATGAAAACAGAAAATATAAAAATAAATTCAAAATATGAATAAAAATGATAATAGTATCTCAATGATACTAAAATAACACTGAGACTACTGTTAATAAAGAAAAAAAATACTTTTAAAATATTTATGAAGAGGGTATTTCAGGCTGTCCAATGGTAAAATCGACAAAAGACAACAAACAAAATTCATTATATTTTTTTACAAATATTTTTACCTTAAAAATGCTTAAAATGCTTTTATTTTTTCTAATAATAATAGTAATAATAATAATGTGTACATTAACATCTATGCAAAGTTTAAGAAAATTAGGAAATGTTATTATATATTACTTAAGTATTATTTCCTAGTGTTTTCAATATATTTCTTCATTGGAAGTCATTGAAAATAAAAAATAAAATAAAAGCTTTTCAAAACTGTATGAATCCAGCATGAATACAAATATTACTTTAATATTACTTTGGAGCATGCATTTTAAACTAGATTTTTCAAAAACGTTCTCCTCTATATCATCTCAAACATCATTATTTGTCACTGGCCCTAATCCTGTGAAATCTGTAAATTATCAGCACCTGATCATGTAGCGCACTGCGGTATCAAAGCGCAGGAAGAGCACGTCCCTGTGTAGCTGCAGGAGCCGCGCGACAGCCTCTGAACTTCTGGGCTCACAGAGAGAGTCAATCTGTCGCTGGACGTCCCACAGTTCAGCCCCTTTGGACAAACATCAGAGCATAAGGAAACGCTGGGCTGGACAACACACAATATCGGCTAAAAACAACACAGGGTAATGTGTGTTTCCAGAGTTATCATATACCGATGCTCTCTAAGCCGCCCCAGTCTGCTGTGAGCCTCTGAGTGCTGCTGGGACTGAAGGAAGTGTTCGGATTCCCCAGCCGAGCAAAGCTCACCAGGTAATATACGACGTCATGAAGAGCTGAAATAATCTGCAGTGTGTTTTGAAGAGCCTGGTGACATTCCTGTAACAAGAATCCACTAAAATCAGCTGATTCAAACACGTCAAGCAAAAATGATGAGGAAAATGTGTTTTAATGAGAACTGGCACACTGTGTCATGTTTATTAGTCACCTTCTCCTCTAGAGCTCTGAACATGAGCAGCACTTCAGTGTAATGAGGGATGAACCACAGGTTTACCAGACGCTTTCCATCAGCTGATAACAGCCTTCTGGGCCGAGGCTGATATGTCCTGAACAGCCAGAAACAGTTATGATTTAGAAAGACATTTACTCTGTGGAAACTGATGACACTTACTTTCTTTCTTTCTTTATTTTGACTATTTTGTCTATTTTCTATGTAACATATAATAAAATGTAAACATTTAATAATGTAGGTCTATCTGACTATCTATCTATCTGTCTGTCTATTTATGTATGTACTGTATGTATGTATGCATTTATTTATTTAGTCTTGTTTGGTTGTTTATTTTGACTATTTTCCATATTTTTAATAATGCAAAATTAATTAAAACTATGAAACATAAAATTTAAGCATTACAATAAAACTGATTATTATGATTATGATTATTTATTAGTTTGTTTTTAAAATTTTGTTTGTTTGAACTATTTTCCAGATTTTTAATAATATAACGTCCATCGAAACTATGAATAAAATATAAAATAATATATAAACATTTAATTTTTATTTTTCACTCCCACCATTCACTATTCAGCCCAACTCGTGCATTAAAAAAATATTTTTTAAACAATTTATATTTGTCTACAAAATGAACTGTTCAAGCATTTAAGCACAAGCCTTTTGAGTGTTATCGACTGTTACTTTCCAGTGTTATTTTAGCATCATACTATTATAGTTTTTATTAACATTCAACATTAGTTTTTTGTTTTCTGTTTTCATTTTCATTTTAATAAAAGTTTGAGTAATTTTATTGCTTGCTTTTGTCATTTTTATACGTTTTTGTATTTTAAATAATATGTCTATTTAGTTTTTATAAAATTTTTATTTCAGTTTTGTTTATTTTAGTACATCAATGAAAATGAAAAATGTTGTCTTGGAAACTAGCTAAGAATAAAATTTTTATTCAGATTTATTTCAGTTAACATTATTTCACTACAGGCAATGAAAATATTTTTATAGTTTTTGTTTCAGTTAAGTATAATTATCCTGTTTTGATCAATAGTTGTTAAAGGTTTTTAAGTTGATTAAGCAGATAAATTCAGCCGTGTGTCCAAATGTTTGGCCAACAAGAATTAACATGACACAAAATGTTATAGGAACACTCTGTATGTATTTTCTTCACCTTGGATCAGGACACAATCTGTCATCTGACTGCAGGTCTGATCTGGATTCATTTGGTTTTCCCATCACAAAGTAATTGTCACGGATATGCGGCACCTCATCCAGCAGTGAGGAGAGACTGTGGCAAAGAGCAACAACCTGCCCTCGGACACAATGCTGTGACATACGCTTGTTAAATCTGAAAGAGACACATAATCATTGCTGCTGCAGAGAACACTCTAATATAAAATTTAGGGTCATTTCCTCATTTTATAGAAAATAAAGAGAGGGAAACACTGTTTACTGACTAAACATACTTGTGACAGAACTCCAAAATCAGTTTCCTCTTGATCCTGCCCACTTCTTCCTATTGAGAGAAGGATGGATGGATGGATGGATGAAAACTGAGGTACATTTCCATTTATTTTGCGAATATAATCATGATCACATACAGAGTTTAACTTCAGTGCACTCATCTGTTCTTTCTTCTTTATAAACGTGTTCAGCATTTCATCTCGAAGACACACTTTCTCCAGCTGAATGGACACAAAAGCACCTGCAAGCCTGAATTACAAAAAATATTTCACACAGTCATTCTATACTCAGATAAAACATGTCTTAATGTCCATTTTTGAAAACTTTATAACCAGATTACTTCACATATTGGTGAATTACACAAAGAATTGCATTGATTTTGCACAAGAATATGACTGAGATTAAAGGGGTCATATGATGCGATTTCAATTTTTCCTTTCTCTTTGGAGTGTTACAAGCTCTTGGTGCATAAAGAAGATCTGTAAAGTTGCAAAGACTAAAGTGTCAAAACCAAAGAGATATTCTTTAT